GGTAGCCCTCATCAAGAAGCAAGTCCCGCTCATACGGGTCGGGGAAAACCGTTGTTGCTGCCGACGCCCTGTGACGACGACGGCGAGGAAGTCCATTCTGCATCCGTACCAGTAGGGGTTCGCCCGAACGTCGCTGATGCGCGTGGCAAGTCTGGAGTCGGCGTCGACGAGGCCGATGCGGGCCGCAGGAAAGGGGGTGACCGGGACCGAGGTTGTTCACGGGGATGATGATGGGGTCCAGGATCGCGAGGAGGAACGTGAGGGTGAGGGGGGCTCGGAGGAGTCGTCGGGGTCGATGTCGGGCTCGAGTCGGGGTCGGGATCGGGCTCGGAGTCGGAGTCGGAGGAGGAGCAGGAGCAGGAGACGCAGGAGCACGAGAGGCAGCACCAGGAGGAGCAGTTGGTAGAGGTGGAGGACGTGGAATGGCGGAGGGGTACGTTGTCGGAGGAGCGGAGGGGTACGTTGTCGGAGGAGCGGAGGAAACGGGTGGGAGATCGGCGCGGATGTCGAGAACGACGAAGGGAGGGGAAGGGTGCGACAGCGAATATCGGCGAGGTCGGCGTGGAGGCGGCTCACGGAGGTGGTGGCATGGTCGAGGTCGGTGAAGGGGATAACGCCGCGGTCCCCGGAGCAGAGGGGCGTGGATGGGCATACCGATGCCACCGCGGGAGAAGGCCGGCGGGAGCGGTCTAGGAGGAGGAAGAAGGCGGCGAGCGGTCATCCCGGTTCCACCGCGGCTGGGCGGCAGGCGCGGCTGGACGTCGTCGATCAGCTGAGGGCGGAGAACAGGAGATTGCGTGCAGACAATGCACTCCTTGAACGGCGGCTCGGTGAGCAGACGGGGCGGGTCGACAGCTTGGCGGCGGCATTAGCTGTGCTCCTCGAGAAGGTGAAGGGTTTGACCGCCCAGGTCGCCGACACCGACCGGAAATCGGAGGAGCGCCTCAAAGAGGCCACGTCGACCATGGCGACCACAATCACCGAGGGCCTCACCGACAACATGGACAGCGCCATTCAATCGGCCAAGTCCTTCGCCGAGCTAGCGAGGCAGACGCTGCTGGATCTTGACGACCCCAAGGGACGAGCGGCGGTCGCACGCGCGACCGCGGTGAAGACAGTGACCGAGCACGTGACGGCGGAGGTGGGCGAGGCGAGGAAGGGGTTGGAGGAGTCGTTCATCAAATACATCGGCGCCGCGCAGACCAACATTGCCGCCGCCGTCGCGCCCCGCCTAGTCCAGCCGCCGCCGCCGCCTACCGGCCCAGCGCAGGCCTTGCCGGAAGATTTCCTGAAGTCTTTCAAGGAGGACGTGCTGAAGGCGATGACGGAGACCACGCAGCAGTCCTTCCTCGCCTCCGGACTGAAGATAATGGCCGAGGTCGTCGGCACGGTGGCGTATGCTCGGCGTGGGTCGTCGCCGTCGGCAAACGACGCCGGCCAAGCGCAACCTACGGAGGGCTTGAAGCTGGGTCACAAGAGGCGGGGAGGCGGCGGGGGGGGCGACGGGGACAATTCGGCGATCACGAAGCGGAGCAAGGGAGGCAGGGGGTCTGGCGGCGGGGGGGGGGACGGAGACGATTCGGCGGGCGCGAGGCGGACCAAGGGAGCGGCTGGTTCTCGCGTCGCCGGCGATGGGAGCATGGGAGCCGGCGACGGCAGTTCGTTGAAGCAGTCGGGGAAGAGCGTGGTCGACATCCTCAGGAAGCACTGGGCTCAGGTTGGAGCGGCCAGCACGGGCCATGGTGGTGGGGGTCCCGCCGACGAGCATGCCACTGATGACGCACTGCCAATGGCTCCGCCTTCGGTCGGCGTTAAGCCACCACGACAGGGTAGCGGTGTGAAAGGCCTGCGCGACAAGGGGAAGGCCGCCGCCAAAACGGCCCCAGGCGGGTCCGCGAAAGCTGGCCAGGGCCCGAAGACAAGGGTTGAGGAGGCGTCAGCGGTTCCTCACCAGTCTCCCGCGGGTGCACGCCATCCGACCGGACCGTCTGCCGGGCGACCTACCGACGTCCCGCGCCATGCCGACGTACCGTCTGCCGACAAGGTTGGCCGCGCGGGAAAAGGGGCGGCAGTTGCGGACGCGCTCAAGGAGCAGCTCAGGCTCCTAGCCGGCCACAGGGCTGTTCAACAGGCCCCCCCTGCTGTCGACGTCCCATCGGCCAGTGGGCCACGTGTAGTGCCGGTCGTCGCCGCCCGTACTCCTGCAGACCCAAAGTCCGCGTTGTTGCGCGCCCAGCTGGGCGCACTAGCGTCGACTGAGAGGACTCAGCAGGCTTCTGGCTCTGGCTCTAAGCCGTCGTCGGCGAATGTCGCACCACCCACCCATGTGGCAGCTGATGTGGAGAAGGCGGCGGAGAAGGGCGTTCGTGCCGCGCTTGCCACCGGCGGCGGCGCCGTTGAGGAGGTCCCCGCAGACGCTGATATCGCTGCCATACAGGCCCATCTGGATGCAGCCAATCCCCGAACCCTGGCCATCTCCGACACGGAACATGTGGAGCCTTCGGCGGGACTCGTCGGCATCGCGGCAGAGCCTAGTGCGACCGGTGATGCGGTCGGTGAGGGAAAGTCGAAACGGAAGGGGAAGGCGGGCTCACAGAGGAAGACGCGGGAGAAGTCGGAGGTGAAGGCGGCGGATAAACAGAAGGGGATGGCGGCGGAGACGGCGGCGGACAAAGATCGAGGCGGCATTGGGGAGGTTGAAGGGAAAGGGGAGAATCAGGAGAAGTCGCCCGGCGAGGGTACGTCGACGGGGAGGAAGGGGAAGGACAAGTCGGTCGGAGAAGGTGCGTCGACCGGGAGAAAGGGGAAGGAGAAGGCGGTCGGCGAGGGTTCCTCGAAGGGGAGAAAGGGAAAGAGGAAGGCGGAGGAGGAGGATGAGGATGTCGAGGAGGTGGAGGAGGTCGAGCAGGAGGAAGAGGAGGAGGAGGAGGAGGAGGAGGGGAAGGGCAAGGAGAGGAGGGGTCATGGCATCCGACACGATACCTCGGGCGACAAGCAAGGGTGGGTCGGCGAGATTAAGGTGCACGGCATCAATCGATACATCGGCAAGTCGCGGGACAAGATGGAGCTCGCGTACGTTCACTCCATCGCGTACGTCGTCTACGACGGTTTCGTGAGCAAGGTGCTCATGACCGAGCTCACCGGCTTGGACAGCGCCGAATTGGAGAGGTGGAAGGAGGTGTGGGATGAGGTCAGGATCTTGCCGACAAGGATGTGGACGGTGATGTGGGCCCGGGGTACGCTCCTTCCAAAGACACGGTAAGTCGGCAATCCTCTCGATTCAAAGTCGATGTCGTTGTCGTTGTCACTCATGTTCGCCCTGTTTGTGGTGGCGTGACAGGCTGACGGAGGATCCTCGACGCGTATCGCCATTACAAGTCCACAGGCGATTGTCTCCACGCCGCGCTCCTGCCAGCGATATGGTACCCAGTCGATGCTAGCACCGAGGAAGGCCGGGAGAAGTCGGCGTCCATGATGTCGGCGATGATAGGCCGCGTGTCAATGTGCGCTGCATATGGGAAGACCGCTGCGGCAGCGGCGAAGAAGGGGGAGACAAGGAGGAGAAGACGGATATGGCGGCATGGGCGTTAGCAGCATCCGCATGCGCTGTGTGGTGCTTCGTCGAGAACGGCGATGCCCAGCTGGCGGATGCTGTGGAAGAAGGGAAGTCGGCGGCGATCATCGGCGGAGGCGAGCCAGGCGACCGCCGATGTATTCGGAAAAGTCATGGAGGCGGTGCTGAAAGCCGAGATGAACAGGGACTGCCCCTTGGGAGAGGTTGCCTACAACGTCGCGCCAGCACTCCAGAGGACCGCCCTTGATACGGTATATCGGGGGGGAATGCTGGAGTAGATGCGACGTTATCGCTAGAGCGACGGTTGAGACGATGGCGTTTTGGGGAAATGTGCCCCGTCGCCGGGCCGAAACTAAGAGCGAGGGACATCGCGGTGCCGATTGACGCGCAGATGAAGGCCGATCTTGACAACAGGGGGAGGAAGGGTCTGAGGGGCCAAGAAGGGGACGAAGACAAGGGCGGCACGGAGGTCAAGAAGTCGAAGAAGGACAGCACGACGGCCTAGTCGACGGCATGCTAAGATTGAGTGCTGCGTGGACTCGATGATGAAATGGTCGATACCGTTTTCCTTGTTTTGGCTGTCGGATCCCTTTGATGCTCTTTCTTTGTGCGTGCCTGTCTACTTTACGTAGGATGAGTAATGAACACATTAGCTAGTAATGATTGTCTACTTCAGTTTGAACGACACGTGAATGCCCCGCTAGGCCGAGAACAACAGGATCATTGAGAGAAACAAAAAGTCGACATCAGTATCAGTATGAAACATAGGCATGCTGCATCAACATCTACAACATGCAACAGGCCACAGTAGCAGGAGGCCTGGGAGCATTCAAGCGGTTTTCTTGCGCTTTGGTCGACTAATTGGTCGGAGGCAGCTGGCCCGGCGTTCGTTTTTCGCGGGCCAGGTCGGCCAACGTCTTCTTCATCTGCTCAACCCAGGTGTCCGGGAACAGGTCGGCGACCCACGTTTCGGGCTTGAGCCCGCGCGCCACGAACGCACAGGCGACACGAAGCTTGGAAAATTCTGTCTTGCCGAGCCCTTTTGACGCCCTTACCCTGCCCAGCATAGGTCGCTACGGCGTCCGCGTTGAGCACCGTGAGGGCATCCGTGAAGGTCCAATGCCAGGCGCCGCTATCTTGTTAAGCGCGTCGAACGGTGGCTTCGGTGTGTCGGCTTCGCCGTCGCTCCTGCGAAGCTGGCGCACCGCATCGATGACCTTCATCATGCGGCGCAACCCTCTTCCGTGTGCTCCCTGCGACGGCTCCGTCGAGGAGGGTGTGGCGGTCGACGAATCCCGGCTCCCTGAACCTGTCGCACAGGACGACGGGTTGTCGGCGCTGGTGCACGAGGTCCAGAGGCGCCACGCGTCCTTGACGGTCGTTGCAGTTCCGCCAAGGCTGCACTACGTTCAGCTCGTAGGTAGCCTCCTCGACCGTCTGTGGGGGTTTATTGGGTTTGTTGGCTCCTCCACCCCCTGCTTGCCGAACTCCGCGGAGCCACCGTCGCTCGGCAACTGGGTCGTTAGCAGCTGGCGGCGCCTCCGGCATCTTCCGAGCTTCTGAAACGCGGAGAGCCTCGGTGAGGCGTGTTATCTCGGCCAGCGAGCGACGCGATGGTTGCGTCGCGATTCTCGATCTTCTCCTCGAGGTCGAGCTTCTGGACCGTTGACCGCTCCCTCTCGAGCTTAAGCGTCTCCGTGAGGGAGACGACCGCCGAACTGGGCGTCATGGCGGACCGATATCTCCTGCAATGGTATGCGAATAACGGTGCAGATGAGGGGTTGTAGCGGTCATAGATAACATCGCGACGTCGGCATAAAAGATGACCTACCTCTGGCTGGATGAGGGTTGGATCTTGCCGCTTTTTTATGGTGTCGGTGTCGGTATTCTCGACCCTCTTCGCCCAGTGCTGGAAGAGGGGAATCCGGCAGAGCTTGGAATACTGGATGTACGGGTGCCAAGGGGTGCGGACGAGTTTCACCGCGAGGTCCTCGGCGACAATGCGGCAGAACATCAGAAGGGTGCGCCAGAAATGCACGGCCGCAACGTCGGCGTCGGACCCCTTCTTCGCGAGTTCTTCTGCCTGCAGTTAGACATCAGACGGGGGTTATTTCCATGTGGATAGGACAGTACCATGCAAGATTTGGTCGGCACCGATAAACAAACCTTGTTGAGGAGGTCGTCGACGTCGGGGAAGATGTGCTCGGCGATGAGAGCGAGGAGTTCGTCTCCCGGTTCCACCCTACTGCGACCCAAGAAGTAGTCCTGCGTGAATCCCGAATAGCCGGCCTTCTTCATCACCACGCCGACGGGAATGGACGTGATGTAGGCTCGAGTCATCTTGTTGAGAGCCCAGTGACCCAGCTCGGCTATCTCGGCGCGAGGCGTACCTTGGATGGCCAACTCCTGCGCCCCGCCCGCCCGAGCGGCATGGACGTTCCGCTTGCAGAACACCCCGTTCGTCTTCCACATCTGCCTCGTCCATCGCTGGTGGCTGGGAGCTGAGAGTTCGCCCTGCTCGGGGTCGTTGCGGGCGAAGAACAGGTGCTTCTTGTACCAGAGCTCGCGTGTGCTGGTGTCGACCGGCGGAATGAGGTCGACTCCGTGAAACTGGCCGATCTGGTCGAGGACGAAGTGTAACCACAGCCCGGTCTCGCCGACGGCGCACAACTCCGCTTCTAGGTGCCACGCCGCGTAGCTCTGTTGAAGACGCGCATCCTTCGACGTACTTCGAGTTCCGCGCGGCGACCACCATGACGACCGGCTGGTTATCCGGGTTCACCGACGAGGTGCTCGCCAGTCGGTACAGGAAGATGTCGGGAGCGTTATCTCGCGTATGCTTGCACCGCGCATGAGGCTGTGGTGGGAGAGCAGCGTGAGCACCTTGATGAGAAGAAACCTCCACAGCGTCTGCGAAGGTGTGGTGAAATGCGGGCTCCATGCCGACGCCGCCCAAGCCGGCAGCACCCTCGTCATTATTTGGCGGAACTGTTCGGCGGTGTATGTGTCGCCGATGGTGCCGCGTCGACGGTCGGCGCATTTACTGTCGACATAACAATATATGGATATGAATATTAGGGCGAGGAAACAAATCGATGGCGACATAACACGGCGATGCATGCCAACTTACTCGAGGTCCCTCTGATTTTTCGTGCGGACCATGACCCGCACCTCCGACCGGACCACCGAGATTTCCCGCATGATGCCCAACTCCTTCTCCTTGAAGAGCGTCGCCTCCACCCTCGCCGCCATCTGGAGGCCTTGATGCGGCCGAGGATCATGTGCACCGTGTAGGCTCCCACTGGCTCGTTCGTGTCGGCGTCGATCTTGTACTCCCGCCTCATGAACTTGATGTAGGCGCGCAGTCGCGTACTAGTGACCCGGGGGTCGTGCAGCCATATGTGCTTCGCTTGACCACCTTCTCGTTGTCCCAATCCTTGCTCTTGCTGTTGTGTGTCCATTGCCCTATCTCGTCGACGTGCCTCATTTGTTCTGCTGTCGGCAGTTTGTCGCCAATTTTTTTAAGCATCTTCGCCGTCCACCTTTTGTAGTCGTATATCCATGAGGTGTAGGACTTGAGCCGTGCTCTTGGCCTCTATGGTTTTCAGGTGGCGCTCATTCCCTCCATCACGAGCACGTCGACGCACGCGTACACCATATCTTCCTCTACGAAGTCGGCCGCCTTCCACATTTCTTGGAGGGACCGACGTGTGCAGCAGATCCTCAAGCTCGTTCTCGTCCAACAGTTCCTCTATGAACGCACGTTCCCCCCTGAGTTTTTCTTCCAACGTGCGCGGACCTGCACCACGTCGGGGCCGCGGGTCGTCTTCGTCGTCCTCGTCGCTCGCCGATGAATAATCGTTCCTCATCCTGGTCGCCCGAATCCGTCCGGCACAGACGACGGCCCGGCCTCCCCTGCATCCGTCGGCGTCGACGTTTTGCGTGGTTTCGTGAACTCCCCTATCGGCGCGGGCGGAACGTCCTTGGTGAACTCTCCCTGCGGGATTTGGGCCAGGGCGTCGAGATCGTAAAGCAGCGGCAAAGTCGACGAGGGTTACTGGTCGGTGTACGGTCTACCGGGGCGGACGTCCTCATCCTGGCTAGCGGGGTTCATGACGTCCGTCATGTCGACATCGGCGGGGGGGGGGTTGGTTTGCGGCGGTGTCGAACGAGGCTGTCCTCTGGCCATGATACCGCGACCCTAGGGCGATGGGAAGTCGGCGTGGTGAGGTCGATAAACTACTTAATGCGTATTCTATGTCGGCGGTATCTGGCAGGTCGGGACAGCAGACAATCCTACGAGAGGTCGGCGACCACGTCTGCCTACTATCACGACGCCGACGTTACGCCTCTAGAGAAAATCCAAGTGCCGGCCGTCAAGTCAGTGGTAAAAAAAAAAAAGCAATGGCACACACAATGGCAGGCGGAATGAAGCGACCATTTCGGGGACCACGGATGGGGATGGTCTGTGAGCGACTCCGCACCACTTGGCGCTCCACGCAAACCCCAGTGCACGACGCGCCATGCATGTACGCTCGTGGACGGCAGCGCCGTGTCCGACGTGCCACCAGGCGTGCATGGCTGCTTGCTTGAAGCGCTTCGCTCATCATGCTCTTTTCGTGGCTGCTACACGCTGGCTCTTTCGTGCGGCAACGTGGCGTGGTCCCGAATTAGGTGCACCTCGGTAGGTCGAGGTCGGGAGACACTGCCGTTGTGGCACCACAATGATGCTCTTCTGGTCGACGCCGACAGGTCCCGCATCATCAGTGTCCACTGGCACGTAGCCATAGATAGTGGACGGCCGGATTTCTCCTTGCGCATGTGAGCAACCGTTGGATGAACTGCCGTTTGTGGTATGCACCGACATTGCCTACGTTCATGCGCGAGATTCTCCCAAGCGAAGCACCCCGACCTTCCGTTGGCCCGTCGTGTCCAACCTGGCAGACCTAGGTGGCCCCGCCATCCAGGGGACTATCTCGGGCGTCCCTTTGTGGCCGCGTGGCGATCATCGCGACCCGACTTGCCGAGCTTGTATTCTGACACGCGGCTGAGACGTCCCTCTCGGGATTGTCTCAGCGGAACTCTAGGTCGACAGGTCTTCGACCATCCCGAGGGCTCACCAGCACCGGGCCCAGCCAGATAGGCTGGGCTTTCCACGCGGAGGTCGTCGTGGGGTCGTCAACCACGAGGAAGGGGTTGTCCGTTCTGAACCGCGAAAATGGGCGGCAGTTTTCGTCGGCTGAGCTATACTATGCTACTCCGCCCAGAACACTTTCGGGAGGAGATGCGTGAACAGACTGGCAGGCAATGTACCTGTAATTTTCTGGGCATCCACTGCCGCCTCGAAGGGCGAATAGGCGGCGCGAAATGTATGGTTTCGTCAGCCTGTTTTTATTTTCACTCAAAAGGCAGCGGGAAAATTGGCTTCAACCAACCACCGTGGTCTGTGTCTGCCCGACATTTTCCTGGAGCTCGTTCATTCACATTTGCCCTTTCGCTTCGCACCAACAAAAAGTGCATGCCCCCTTCAAAGCTGCCTTCAAGTGGCTCGGTAAACGCTCGTGTTTTGTGCGGTTCATTTAGAGTTAGAAGTCTATGAGCGCGGTAGAGACGACGCAACAAAACTCTTTAGCGTTATCAGCCCCACACAAGCAGCAGCAGCGCCTGCTTTGCCCACCTCTTCAATGTCCAACGAGAACCTCCCACATCATCCCTTCACACCGCCCACCGACCAAGCTCAACAACCCAACCTCCTGCCCCCAAGAAACATTAGTTTTCTATCTCGAACCTCTAGCTCCCGGTAAATTTTACCTTCAAGGACATAATTTTTTCTGCGCCCCATTTTTCTCAACAGAACCCGCTATATTCCTGGTTCTGGTTCCGCCCACGAAGTAGCACTGCAATTCTAACCATTTTCCGCTTCGTCCGACAGCTTCCCAATCCTCCCGAACAAGTTCCCTCCCGGCCCAGTAAAAACCCATCCAGGCGTTCCTAATCATGTTGCGCGCAACCAGTCATCTGCGGCTCCTCCTTGCCGCCCTCGTTATCCTTGTCGGTACGTGCCCTTCACTCATTTGTGCAATCGGCGAGCCCGCGCTGTCTTTAATTTATCGATGCGCTCTTCCTTGCGAGGCGCCACCGCGTCCTGCTCCTTCTCACGCTCTGAAATCCGCCGCGCCGCTTTTGAAGTCAGCCTTACCGCCTTCCAACTCAGCCCTAACGTTTCGAACTCAGCATGTACCATTGCTGGCGCCTGCTTGCTTTCCATGCACATTCATCCACACACCGTACCACGCGCATCGCCTGTACTCGCAAGGCTCCTCCCGCCGCCCCCCCAGATCGTCCCATTTCCTCCCCATGTCTTCCACTTTGCTCACCCGCAACCCTCTTCCCCCCCTCCCCCTTCCTCCCCCTTCCTTTCCTCTCTTCCTCCTCACCACCACTCTCTCTCTCTCTCTCTCTCTCTCTCTCTCTCTCTCTCTCTCTCTCTCTCTCTCTCTCTCTCTCTCTCTCTCTCTCTCTCTCTCTCCTCTCTCTCTCTCTCTCTCTCCCCTCTCCCAACCCCTTCACCCCCGGGCCCCCCACCTTCCTCTCCCCCATTACCCCCCTCCCCTCCCTCCCTCGACTCCCTCCCGATTCTCCTCTCCGCAATCTCCGACGTCGCATCGTCGGCTGCCCGCCGGTGTCTGCCTCTCCGCGCGCGTGCTCTCCGCCGACGACGATCGTCAACGGTCACCGCCATTCGCCGCTCGTTCCTCCTCAGCCGGCGCCGAGGCGCAGGTAGGACTGCCTCCCCATCCCCTCACCCTTCCCCTCTTCCCCTTCATCTCATAAGTGAGATCTGCTCGTATTGCTTCCCTTCTCTTCTTCACACCCCTTGTCTTCCCTCTTCATCCTCCCTCCCTCCCTCCCTCCCTCCCTCCCTCCCTCCCTCCCTCCCTCCCTCCCTCCCCTCCCTCCCTCCCTCCCTCCCTCCCTCTCTCCCTCCTATCCCCTCCGTCCTTCCTTCCTTCCCCATCCCGCCCTCCCTCCTATCTCCGTCCCGCGCCTCCTCCCTCCCCGCGTCCAGGAAATGGTGTGGGTGGGGGGTAACAACGGCCGGTGGCTGTCTTCGTGGGGCTATTTTTGAGTTGACACAAGAATTCACTCCCGCCCCCTTCCCTCCCCGCGTGCAGAAAATGGTGTGGGTGGGGGGCAACAACGGCAGGTGGCTGTCTCCATGGGGCTTTGGAATGAAGGACTGGAAGGCGCCCAAGTTGTTGCCTGGCGACCTGCTAGGTACGCGCCTGTGCGTGTTGGGTGTGCTGCTGCTGCTGCAACCGCCAGCTGCAACGAGTGACAATGGTGGTTTGCGAGAGGGTGGGAGGCGGTGACGGCGGCAGGAAGGGTATTTGTTTGCAAGAACTGAAAGGGCATAATTTCTCCACACAGTGCCCTGGTAGGTGTTCACGAGTGAATAACGTCACCTGCACCGGACTGTGTGCTTCTGCTGTGATTCACCTTGCACACTGGTGATGCAGGTTTGAACTTTTTCTGGTTACTGGGGCCTGTTCTGGTAACCCAAGCCTGTTCTATGTTCTAGTACCCAAGCCTGTTCTGGTAGCCCAAGCCTGTTCTAGTAACCCAAGCCTGTTCTGGTAACCCAAGCCTGTTCTGGTAACCCAAGCCTGTTCTGGTAACCCAAGCCTGTTTGGGTGACCCAGCATTCCGGGTCTTTGATCCGGCCGAAGTCGGCCCAGAAGCCACCCAAAAAAATAAAAAATCGCTAAGTTCGTTTTGCGCTGGAACACACCGGGCCAGTGCCCTGGCACCCCATGCCTGCTGTGGAAGCACGGGCCTGCTGTGGAAGCACCACACAGCACAGCCCGTGCTTCCAGAGCAGTTCTGGTCCTTGCGACTTCGAAGGCTGGGTTTTGAGGATTAAGGGCTGAGGCTCACCACAGATGGTGCAGGGTGGGGTGCGGTACAGATGGTGCAGGGTGGGGTGCGGTTCAGATGGTGCAGAGTGGGGTGCAGTACAGATGGTGCAGAGTGGGGTGCAACAAAGATGCTGCATTGTAGAGTGTAACACCACGAGGTTCACGGGTAATGGAATTCACTCTCTGCCCCTATATATCACCAAGGTATATATGGTTGATGATACTCTTTTTCCCTCTGAAATATGATACATATGTCACATGCATACCTTTCCCTTTCTGCCCGCAATAATCCTGCTCGCCCCTCGTTCATTCTTTTCTAGAGAATGCAGTGTAGCTTGTAGTCCAATAATTGCATCGATAACTCCCTTCCATTTCCTCTGTCCCTAGCATACCTCCCACCACACCAACCCCAGTTGGTGACTTGCGCTAGATGCAGAATGTGATTTAGTGCAATTGAGGTGTATATATCTTTCATTATTCCCATTCCGATGCCCCTGGATTTCTTCCGCCTCCTTACCCGCAGTGTTCCAGTGGTCGGGCGAGGTACACTCAGTACACAAGGTTGACGTGGCAGATTACACTGCATGCACGTTCCTGAACGCCAAGACGCTCGCGCGCAGTCGTAACTACGGAATGTACATCTACAAGGTGGTCGGCAAAGACTACGGCAATACTATTTATTTCAGCAGCAAAGCCAATAATGACTGCAGTGACGGAATCAAGGCGTCATTCACTGTTGGATAGCAATAACTGTGTTTTACAATCGGAGTGTACAGGCTCTGCAGCTATGGCCGGGAAAATATGGTTGTACCTGTCAAGTTTGTATTATATGTTAAACGGGAAGATTTATGTACGGTATCCGTGTCAGTTGAACATTGTCGTGGTGAGCGAGCTTACAGGGCGGTTTCTCCGGGGACCATGGGGATGTTCGCCAGCACCAATCCTCGGTCGACTTATGCTACCCTACCTGTTCCCCGACCTGTCCTCGTTACCACCGCTGAGGACCTCATCTCTCACCTACACGCTAGTGACACTCGCCTTTGTGACGCCCTTCCAGCCGAGTTTCTCGCAGAGAACCACCCCTCGATGTACTTTACTCTCTACTTCCTCATCACCCGCCTCCCTGACACTCTTCGCTCAGTCAGGGACCACTTCCTCGCCCTTGACCCCCATTCTCTCACTGTCAACGACCTCGAGAAGCACCTCCTAGCAGACAAGAAGAACATTCTAGCTGTAGGTGTTGCTCGTGGCACTCCCCGCACTCCCCTCTTTGGGGGGTGCTCCCCCTCCCCTCTCACCCCTTCCTACGCCTCCGCAGCTGCTGCTGTCGACCTCCTTGGTGCTGAGAAGGTCGCAGCTACTTCCGCTCCGAGTGGGAAGCGCAGCGGCTTCAAGGGAGGCAAGGGTGGCAGGGGGTGGCGGACGTGGCGGTGGAGGGGGCGCTGGTGGAGGCGGCGGGGGCGGTGGAGGTGGTGGCGGTGGTCGTGGGGGTGGAGGTAGGGGTGGGGGCGGTGGTGGTGCCGGGAGCGGTGGCGGTGGCAGCGGCGGGGGTGGCGGAGGGGGGAGTGGTGGTGGCGGCGGGTGGTGGGGGCTTGGGTGAGGCCGGTGGTGGCCAGGGACAGCAGCAGCAGCACGTCAGCGCCAGAACCCCACTTCCCAGCAGCTTCTTCACTGGTATGCCGGGCGTGGGGCGTCTGGGGTCCTGGTAGCTGCCCCTATATCATTCGCACAAGTCCCCGCACTGGTCGTCAGTGCACAGGGTTTCACACTGAGTACCGCTGCTTCGCTCGGCTTAGCGACGCCTGGCGCGTCAAGTTTCCTGATGCTACTGAGTTCCCCAAATGGGCAGACCTGCTTAGGCGTGATGTACCTATCTTTGATCTGACTATGAAACTATTCTTGATGCCATGTATGCATTGACTATTAGTGCTGAGGGTGACTGCTACTTCTGTGTGCCGCCTAACCCCGGTATAGGCCCAGGTATAGCGCCTGTGGCACTAGGTGCTTGTGAGTCTGTTCCCCCTGGTATTGCGTCCGCACAGGTCTTGCACACCTTCACACTTGACTCTGGTGCTTTCCCGCTGTTTCTTTCGCGACAGCACCACAGTCACTCCCTCCCTGCACCTGTTCCTGTCTCAGTGGCTGACCCCTCTGGGGGCCCAGGTCTTACACGGTCTTCCACTGTGCTTCCGTGTCTGGCGGTCTCGTCTGGTGAGCTGTCTGGTCTCCACCTCCCCTCGTTCTCTACGAACTTGGTGAGCAACGCCGTCCTTCAGGATCACTGGGTTGACACCTTTACTCCTGGAGGACAGCGTGTGGCGATCTGCACGTGCTCCCGGACCAGCCGTCACCTGGCCACGTTCACACGTGCGCCTGGGTCCAGTCTGTACATCCCTCACCACTGCGTCGCGCTCCACCCTTTTGTCTCCCCACCTGTACGCGTCTGCTCAGGTAGCTCCCAGTGTGAGTGTCGCCGACTGTCGCGCGACACTCTCCTATGGCACCACCGCCTTGGTCACCCCTCCCTGCCTCGCCTTCGTAGCATGCACTCTCGCTTCCTGGTCTCTGGCCTTCCCAGGTCAATCCCCTGCCCTCCCTCCCTCGCACCGCCCTGCATTCCTTGTGTCAGCGCGCCGCTCCTTACTCCTCCTCGTTCCCTCCCACAGAGGCTGCACTACAGACTCTCCACCTGGACGTGTGGGGCCCAGCCCACGTCCGTGGACAGGGCCACGAGCGGTATTTCCTGCTGGTTGTCGACGACTACACGCGTTACACCACGGTCTCCCCCTTGCAGCGCAAGGGAGAGGTCCCTCATGTTTTGATCCCCTGATCCGCGCTGTTCATCTCCAGCTCCGCGAGCGGTTCCAGTCGGAATTTCCTGTCCTGCGTGTGCACTCTAACAAGGGTGGTGAGTTCTCCTCAGACCTCTTGACAGCCTTCTGTGCGGAGCACGGCATCCGCCAGACGTTCACGCTTACGGTCTCTCCGCAGCAGAATGGGGTTGTTGAGCGCCGCATTGGCTTAGTCATGGAGGTCGCTCGTACCTCCATGATCCATGCGGCTGCCCCCCATTTTCTGTGGCCGTTTGCGGTCCGGTACGCCGCGCATCAGCTCAACCTCTGGCCCCGTGTCTCCTTGCCGGAGACCTCGCCCACACTGCTGTGGACGGGGAAGGTTGGCGATGCGTCGCGTTTTTCGGGTCTTGGGTGCTCGTGCCTTTTTCCGCGATACCACACGTGGACAAGCTCTTCGCTCAGCGTCGTGAGCCTGAATCAAGTCCTATCTCGCCTGTCCGTTCTGGTCGTTCCGGTCGTCGTGTTCCTCGTCCGCGTCAGCCGGCTGTCCCCGGCACCCACCTCGTAGTTCGTCGTCCTTCCTCTCCTCCGCAGCGTGCTCCTCTGCCTTCTCCACCTGTGTCCTCTCTGCCTAACGTTGCGGACCCTGAGTCTGACCAGTTTCGTACTACGCACCCTACTGTCACGCCGTTAGCCACTGTGGTCACTGACCGTCGTTTGAGTCCACTGCTGCGTCTGCCCTAGTCGCTAAACTTGTTGACTTTGCTGCATACCTGTCGTCTAGAGTACGCTTGCTAGTCTTGTTGCTGAGTCTGAAGTCTGTCTATCCTCCGTCCGTCGGGGGTGAGTGTGCTCTTAGCACGGACGTTCTTGAGGACAGGCACGAGGACCTTGAGTGTCTTGCGGCCGCTGCGCCTCATCTCGTGGCCATGCTGCTTGCCCCTGAGGGAGA